CACTGTTGTAGAAACATTGTTGTAGAAACATAGTTGTAGAAACATTGTTGTAGAGACATTGTTGTAGAAACATTGTTGTAGAGACATTGTTGTAGAAACATTGTTGTAGAAACATTGTTGTAGAAACATTGTTGTAGAAACATTGTTGTAGATGCACTGTTGTAGAAACATTGTTGTAGAAACATAGTTGTAGAAACATTGTTGTAGAGACATTGTTGTAGAAACATTGTTGTAGAAACATTGTTGTAGAAACATTGTTGTAGAAACATTGTTGTAGAAACATTGATGTAGAAACATTGTTGTAGAGACATTGTTGTAGAAACATTGTTGTAGAAACATTGTTGTAGAAACATTGTTGTAGAAACATTGTTGTAGAAACATTGTTGTAGAAACACTGTTGTAGAGACATTGTTGTAGAAACATTGTTGTAGAAACATTGTTGTAGATGCACTGTTGTAGAAACATTGTTGTAGAAACACTGTTGTAGAGACATTGTTGTAGAAACATTGTTGTAGAAACATTGTTGTAGATGCACTGTTGTAGAAACATTGATGTAGAAACATTGTTGTAGAAGCATTGTTGTAGAAACATTGTTGTAGAAACATTGTTGTAGATGCACTGTTGTAGAAACATTGTTGTAGAAACATTTTTGTAGAAACATTGTCGTAGAAACATTGTTGTAGATGCACTGTTGTAGAAACATTGATGTAGAAACATAGTTGTAGAAACATTGTTGTAGAGACATTGTTGTAGAAACATTGTTGTAGAAACATTGTTGTAGAAGCACTGAGCAGGGCTATTCAACTGGCGGGGATTTGGAGGTGGAAGAGGAAGAGAAAAAGAAGATAAGAAGGAGGAGGAAGAGTAATACGGAGAATAGAAGGAGAAGAAGAAGAGAAAGAAAATAAGGCGGATGATGAAACAAAGAAATACAACAGTTCAGTAGTAATCCCTGGTACATGTAAAGTGGTTTTATCAAACTGCAATCATCGCTGCGACATTGTACTAGTCATCAAAAAGCCTTTTGAACCAAACAGGAAGTGACATGACAATAGCCCAACCTCTCCTCCGACACTGCATAGATCGTAAAACCTGATAAACCCGCCCTCTCAGGGGCGAAGATGAAGGTGTGCGGTTATGAGTAAGCTCTTGGTTCTTGTAGAAGCCACAGCACTTATTTTTGTAACCACTTTACTTCCAATGACATTTTCCTGGTACCCATAGCAGGTTAGGCTATGTCTCAGTGCTGATTCGAACCCGAGGCTTTCGGATCAGCGGACGGGTATCTAACCTCTGTGCCACATTGGCTGCATTTTGTTTGCTTACAGCCAATGCATTGATTAGCACTCATGGAAAGAATCAGAAAGATAGAAGGACACACTAGGCAACAAACAATTTTCAAACTATAGTTGACTATATACCAGGAATCGAACCTGTCATCTCCATATGATGACATCGTCTCCCTAAAGGAACAAGTGTACAAAGACACCGGACATTCTAAGACAATTCTGAGATGCACGACCTCCTTTTTCCAGTTTTTTTTTTTTTTTGGGGGGGGGGGAGGATATTGGGTGCCCAATTGTTCATGTGTCCCAGTAAACTTGTTTCTAAGACGCTTGACCAGCTAACCACCCCCTCTCCCACCCCCATCCCGTCTCCCCTTCGTTTTTCAAGATTTTTACCCCCCGTCAACATTCTCTTTTTGTCAACATTCTCTTTTTGTCAACATTCTCTTTTTGTCAACATTCTCTTTTTGTCAACATTCTCTTTTTGTCAACATTCTCTTTTTGTCAACATTCTCTTTTTGTCAACATTCTCTTTTTGTCAACATTCTCTTTTTGTCAACGTTCTCTTTTTGTCAACATTCTCTTTTTGTCAACATTCTCTTTTTGTCAACATTCTCTTTTTGTCAACATTCTCTTTTTGTCAACATTCTCTTTTTGTCAACATTCTCTTTTTGTCAACATTCTCTTTTTGTCAACATTCTCAACACCCTTCTGTGTCTATAATCTCCTTCTCTGTCCACGATAACTTCAACATTCTTATACGTGCAGACCGTGTTTATGATGTATGATGCCCTTGTGTAGTCATTAACGTTACGCCCCCTTCTCCGTCAACCAATCTTCAGCATTGTTAATAGCATGCCAGAACGCTAAGCTAATACGAGTTCCATGATGACAAAGCTACTACAAATATACATCATGTATAACTACTAGCTGTATTTTCCCGCCTACAACTATTTTACCGGCTCCCAAAAATGATGGCACACCGTCTATCTGCACATGTTTCACAATGGCTAAATACAACTTTACCAGTAACCTTTCTGTAGTTTTTGCTTGGTCAGTCTCTATTTTCCACCAGAACCTGACAGTTCTTCCATAACTTTACATCTCAGCCATAATGTTAAACTTTAGCACTACAATAACTGTATAGTTCAACAACTATACAGCTCTTTAAAATCTTTGCATCTCTTCAATAACTTTGCAACTCTTGAATAACTTTGCAACTCTTGGATAATTTTGCAACTCTTGAATAACTGTGCAACTCTTGAAAAACTTTGCATTCTTGAATAACTTTGCAGCTCTTCAATAATTTTGCAACTCTTCAGTAACTGTGCAAGTCTTCAAAAACTTTGCAATGCTACAATAATGTTGCAACTCTTTAATAACTTTACAACTCCTGAATGGATTTGCAACTCTTCAATAATTTTGCACCACCTCAAAGCTGTACCATTACATACCAGCAACGCCCCTGACAAAATGAATTCCTCAGCGCAGAAGGTAACAATAAGAAATACCTGCAAATATTAAAAGTCATTATCTTGTGCTCATCGACGTCCAAGCCGTGTAGCCACTGAAGCGAGTCACTGCATGACCCCGTGCAAGACTGTCAGGCCTGGTTGAGTGGTTCTAGTTGATTCGGCACAGAGGGCATTTGTTTAGCGCCCTGTGTTCATTCAGGTAAATGATAACTAGCGGGCTCTAATGACTTAGGTGACAATGTGACAACGGACTAACAACTATACAATATTTTGTTTGCTGAGTTTCTAAAGATACCGCAGGCAAGTTATCAAAGACAAGATCCTAGATTAGAGATAAGTTCATCAGTTTTTATTTATATATTTTAGAGACAGGTAAAATTAAAGGACCCGATTCCACACCTTGAGACTATGGGCATATAGGGCTAGACCTATATTTTAATGATCAATTGGCACTTGGGTGGTGATGTAGTCAGCAACAGTAACGCTTTTACTTACCCGTCTAAACACGCGTTTACTTTCCTCAAACACATGGTGAAATTTCTAAAATTGAAGGGTGATATAATTACAGACACACACGGTGACATTTGCACAGACACGCGGTTATATTTTCACAGACATATATTGCCACAAAAGTGATGTAATACTTCCACAGATGCACAGTGATATTTCTACATACACAAAGTGATATTTCCCCAGACCCACGGTGATATTTCTAAAGACACGATGATGTTTCTACAGGAACACGGTGATATTTCGACAGAAACAAGGTGATTTTCCCTTAGACACACGGTGATGTTTCAAAAGACACATAGTGATATTTCTACAGACACATAGTGATATTTGCACAGACACACTGTGATATTCCTAAATACATAAAGTGATATTTCTACAGACACACACTTATATTTTCATACTTAAACGGTGATATTTCTACAGTGGCATATCCACAGAAACACAGTGATATTTCCACTGACACACGGTGTTTTTTCCACAGACACACAATGATATTTTCACAGACACACGCTGATATTTCTAAATATGAACATGGTAATATTTCCACAGACACACACTGATGTTTCCACATATTCACACTGTGATTTTTCTTCAAACATACAATGATATTTCAGTAGACACACACTGATGTTTTCACATATTCACACTGTAATATTTCCACAAACATACAGTGATATTTCCACAGACACAAGGTGATATTTCCACAAACATACAGTGATTTTTCCACAGACACACAGTGATATTGCCACAGACACCTAGTGGTATTTCCACATATACACAGTGATATTTCCACAAACATACAGTAATATTTCCACAAACACACAGTGATATTTCCACAAACATACAGTGATATTTCCGCACACACACAGTGATATTTCCACAAACATACAGTGATATTTTCGCGCACACACAGTGATATTTCCACAAACACACAGTGATATTTCCACAAACATACAGTGATATTTCCACAAACATACAGTGATATTTCCGCACACACACAGTAATATTTCCAGAGACACACGATGATATATCCACATGTACGTACAATAAAATTTCCATACATAGGGTGATATTTCCACAACCATACAGTGATCTTTTTTACAGACACGTGGTGATATTTCTACAGACACAGTGTGATATTTCCACAAATATACACTGATATTTCCACAGACACAAGATGATATTTCCACAAACATACAGTGATATTTCCGCACACACACAGTGATATTTCCACAAACATACAGTGATATTTCCACAGACACACGGTGATATATCCACATGTACGTACAGTAAAATTTCCATACACAGGGTGATATTTCCACAACCATACAGTGATATATTTTACAGACACGTGGTGATATTTCTACAGACACAGTGTGATATTTCCACAAATATACAGTGATATTTCTACAGACACACGGTGATATTTCCAAAAACATACAGTGATATTTCCACAGCACACGGTGATATTTCCACGAACACACAGTGATATTTCCACAGACACATAGTAATATTGCCACAGGCACAGGGTGATATCTCTAGAAACACACAGTGATATTTCCATAGTGATACCGTGATTTTCCACAAACACACACATTGTATCTATCCTCATCATTATCACTCTGTAGTGCCATATACATTGATGATTTCTCGTGCCATTCCTGTCTTCTCAGTCCAGCTGTTTCCCATTTCAGATCCACATACCCGTTAGGTAGTTGAACCAGAGATGCTGCAACTCGTGGCAATCCTGTTGATGATCTCCCCTTTCGGTGCCGTGGACTACAACTTCGGTAGGTTGACAGAGATCTGTTACTAATCATCTTGTTTGTTGATTTATTCAATATTTGTTTAAAATAATTTTTTACATTTATGTTTAGTAAACTATTGCTTTCAGAGGGGTGTCCCCATCAGATTCACATTCCGTCGTCTAGATCTCACAAGTAGAATCTGAGAACATTATTGACATGTATACAACAGGCGTACAATGATGATGATGATGATGATGATGATGTGGCTGGACTCATACATCAAACATCTGTGGTTGGACTCATACATCAAACATATGTGGTTAGACTCATACATCAAACATATGTGGCTGGACTGTTAAGCCCCCCCCCCCCCCTCCCCTTATGGGTGATGTCGTCAACATCAGGCCGGCCGCCTTTACGTCTCATGACATTACCTGGTACCCATGCAAGCCTGGGTCGACCTAGGAGCCAAGGTCATGTAGAAACAAACATTGGTCCCCGTGCAGATTTGGACCTTTCGGATCCGCAGTCGAACTCTAGCCGCTATACAACGTAAGCTCCCAGTATGTGATAAAAACCTTATATCTCTATAGATCAGCTGGACATTCCATAAATAACGGGATTAATATAACATTTTCTGATATCTTTATCAGACCGGCCAGTTCAGTTCGAACATCCAACTGGACGAGGATTCCCAAACAAGGTCCTGAAGAGTTCAGACATCCAACTGGACGAGGATTCCCAAACAAGGTCCTGAAGAGTTCGAACATCCAACTGGACGAGGATTCCCAAACAAGGTCCTGTAGAGTTCGAACATCCAACTGGACGAGAATTCCCAAACAAGGTCCTGAAGAGTTCAGACATCCAACTGGACGAGGATTCCCATACAAGGTTCTTAAGAGTTCAGACATCCAACTGGACGAGGATTCCCATACAAGGTCCTGAAGAGTTCAGACATCCAACTGGACGAGGATTCTCAAACAAGGTCCTGAAGAGTTCAGACATCCAACTAGGCGAGGGTTCCCACACAAGGTCCTGAAGAGTTCAAACATCCAACTGGACTAGGATTCACACAGAAGGTCCTTAAGAGTTCAGACATCCAACTGGACGAGGATTCCCACACAAGGTACCGAACCAAATATGCTGGGGAGTCCCTGTAAAGTGGACCGCGCGAAGGAGTAACAATGAGCAGATCATGTCCGGGGTGTCCAAATATCGAAGTCAACTATATCTTGTGAGCACACATCGTCTCTATTTTGTTTCTGTTAGCTATCCCTGCTAGGGACTTTCAGAAAAAAAAAAGGCTACAGCTCTATATGAAGGATGCAGTGAGAGGCACCGCATGCCATGATTTACAGTGGAATGCCAACTACAAGACCTAGGATCTCTCTACTGCATGTTAAGAGACTGCCTGTAGCTCTTCAAGGCGGATGGCCCGGTACTGCACCTGTCTGGCAGGGTTCCACAGGATCAACACCGCGTCTCTTATTTTCATTTTTCGAACCTGGCATCACAGGAAGAAATTTTTTAGTTTTCAGGTTCGACCGACATCTTTCTAGACTATCTGCGTCTTTCTGCACTGCACTTTTCTAGATTATCTGCGTTTTTCTGGACTTCCTCGACTTTCTGAGCTGCTTTTTTCTGGACTATCTGCGTGTTTCTGGACTATCTGCGTCTTTAAGGACTATTTGTGTCTTTCTGGACTATCTGCGTCTTTCTGGACTATCTGTGTCTTTCTGGACTATCTGCGTCTTTATGGGCTATCTGCGTCTTTCTGGACAATCTGAGTCTTTCTGGATTGCTTTTTTCTGGACTATCTCCGTCTTTCTAGACTATCTGTATCTTTCTGGACTGTCTGCGTCTTTCTGAACTATCTGCATCTTTCTGGACTATATGCGTCTTCCTCGACTGTCTTTCTGGACTATATGCGTCTTTCTGGACTATCTGCGTCTTTCTGGACTATCTGCGTCTTTCTGGACTATCTGCGCCTTTCTGGACTATCTGGGTCTTTCTGGACTATCTTCGTTTTTCTGGACTATCTGCGTCTTTCTGGACTATCTGCGTCTTTCTGGACTATCTGCGTCTTTCTGGACTATATGCGTCTTTCTGGACTATCTGCGTCTTTCTGGACTATCTGTGTCTTTCTGGACTATCTGCGTCTACAAGGACTATTTGTGTCTTTCTGGACTATCTGCGTCTTTCTGGACTATCTGCGTCTTTCTGGACTATCTTCGTCTTTATGGGCTATCTGCGTATTTCTGGACAATCTGAGTCTTTCTGGACTGCTTTTTTCTGGACTATCCCCGTCTTTCTAGACTGTCTGTATCTTTCTGCACTGTCTGCGTCTTTCTGAACTATCTGCATCTTTCTGGACTATTTGCGTCTTCATCGACTGTTTTTCTGGACTATATGCGTCTTTCTGGACTATCTGCGTCTTTCTGGACTATCTGCGTCTTTCTGGACTATCTGCGTCTTTCTGGACTATCTTCGTTTTTCTGGACTATCTGCGTCTTTCTGGACTATCTGCGTCTTCAAGGACTATTTGTGGCTTTCTGGACTATCTGCGTCTTTCTGGACTATCTGTGTCTTTCTGGACTATCTGCGTGTTTCTGGACTATCTGCGTCTTTCTAAACAATCTGCGTCTTCAAGGACTATTTGTGTCTTTCTAGACTATCTGCGTCTTTCTGGACTATCTGCGTCTTTCTGGACTATCTGTGTCTTTCTGGACTATCTGCGTGTTTCTGGACTATCTGCGTCTTTCTAGACAATCTGCGTCTTCAAGGACTATTTGTGTCTTTCTAGACTATCTGCGTCTTTCTGGACTATCTGTATCTTTCTGGACTGTGTGCGTATTTCTGAACTATCTGCATCTTTCTGGACTGCGTCTTTCTGGACTGTGTCTTTCTGGACTTTGTCTTTCTGGACTATATGCGCCTTTATGGATTGGGCCTTTCTGAACTAACTCCGTCTTTCTGAGCTATCTGCGTCTCTAGTCCCATTAACTTCGGCTGTAACCTGCTTTTCTATTAGGGTGAATGTCCTTTCTCCACGGCGAACCAAGATCTATCTATTGGAGTATGAAAAGTCTGTAATAAGACTTCCTTCTCCTTGATGTATTGCTGTCCCCACCTGACGAGCTCTATACGCATGGCGCATGTCTGTTTATGACAGCCAGAACTGTTTACAGAGAAGGGGCCCTCTACCTTACTCTTCAGCCCTCAGCCTGGAGGACTAGCGTGTCCCTGTGTGCATGTTCTCTAGTTCCCATCTCGATACTAGGGTATTTGATCAGCAGAGGAAGCTGATATACCACTGTGCGCCCCTTCAAGTATCAGACTGGGATCTGTCTGTTTTCACCGATCACCTGTAAAAAGTAAGGTTAAAATGGCCTAGTTATTTCAGTTAGGAAGTCTGATCTCTGAGCCACATTGATGTTAACTAGACTTCGCTGTCTTTACAATTTATGCCTGAGTTAAGCTGGTATAAAAAAATGTTTCCCCGTGTTGAGTGTTTTTCATGTTTTTGTAATGACATTGGTTTTGTGGCGTAATCTCTGTTTTTTTTTTGCGAGAAGAGCAGTTCGTTAAGCGTTGGCTCGTTTTTGCTTTCTGATTTTTCTTCCCTCTTAGTTCTTTTTATATCGCATTTTAGTTTTCTATTAGCTTTTCTTCCTTTTCTTTTCTGTTAGTTCTAATTATTTTTTTGTTCTTAGGTTAAACAAGCGGATACAACGCGGATATGCACGATGTCTTTGTCGGAAACATTGACAATGTGTTGGAGGATTTTGTTTTTCTTTCAGGCCCAGGATGAAAATCCTAGCCGGCACAGATTGTTAAGACTGCACCATCCATGCGGGACTATGTCCCCAGGCTCAAGATCACATTTGTGTTACGCCCCTTAAAAATAAACATATGTTATAAACAAAAACAAACAAAAAGGCAAACCCATGCAGCCATGACTGGTGTTTTGTTCATGGGAGCAGCAATCAGGAAGCCCCAGATACTGGCAGCTTAGCGATTCCCCCCCCCCCCCCCAAAAAAAAATCCTCCAGTACACGCACATTTTTAGGTCGGAATGCAACGTCATCACCCTTCCCACCCCCCACCCCCGGCTAACCCCAGAATTTTTGAGGTGCTCCACTCTCTGGCCCCACTGCCCGCACAACCATCAATATACACTTTTCTCCAAAGCGTTTGTTTATACATAGAGTATTATATATACATACATACACACACACACACACACACACACACACACACATATATATATATATATATATATATATATATATATATATATATATAGATATATACATACACACACATATATAATAAAGGTTAGTTACGTATCTTTTACAGGACGTTACAGAACCAACCCCAGCAGCCCCTGGCTGTTGTGTGGTTTCTCTAGGCAAATTTACGTCCAGTAGTTTGCCATTGCCTCTGGACGGTCGGCCCCCTATACCACTGTCGAAACCAACGAACCCGGCATCCCGGCATTACGAAGCGTTTGCCTAGACTTAGCCACAGAGCCGACATACACACATATATACATAATATAAAATTTGATAAATAGGTTGGTGGATGAGCTGACTGGTGGATGCATAGATGGATTGATGGATTATAACATGAAATGCAACCATAAAATAAATGAACATCTATCACCTGATCTTCGTTGTCCAGTCCACCCCAGATGCACGGACACATGCAGTGACCAGGGAGACGGACAGTACCTAGACTGCAACAGGTGTGACCGCTTTGTGTCATGTTCTGGTAGTAAGCTCTACCGGATGAGATGTCCAGAACTTACATCCTACCACGGCTATCTGGGTGTCTGTGTGCACGCCACAAGTCCCAACTGTAGGTAAGTTTCATGCAATCACTGGTTAGGCTGAGTCTTTTAATTGTGGCTAGGCCTATTGTGTCAGCAGTTCTACCCGTGGGTATTACAGAAGAAAAAAGAATAATCGAAACAAGAGGGAAACAATCTCTACAGCGAATCCTAAATGTAACGAAAACAGACAGGATCAAAAACGACGATATCAGGGAAGATGTTGGGGCGTAACTTGTACTAAACTGCAGCGAGAGACAACGTATCGAATGGTTTGGACATATGTCAAGACTGCCCCCACACAGTGCACCACAGAGACCCCTGTCTCTCTCTCTCTCTCTCTCTCTCTCTCTCTCTCTCTCTCTCTCTCTCTCTCTCTCTCTCTCTCTCTCTCTCTTAGAAACGATCGTCTAAGAGAAGTTATTTTTTTTCCCATCATTTTTTCTTTATTCCATTTGTTTCCCACGTCAGTGCCTACTTAGTGACTCTCTGTCGGCGTCTAGAGTGATACACAGCTCTTTGTTAGCAGATGAGATCACGGAAATATCAAGTGAAGCTTTGAAAGGGAAGACAAAGTTGTTGACTGGTTGAAGCACGGATCAAATCACTGTAGATATAATGAAATGTTAATGAAACTTGAAAAACAGGAGTCTCCGTGGCTCAGTCGTCAAGCCCTTTGCTTATCTTCCTGGAGGTCATGGAGTCATTTTCAGACTGCGTAGCTCGGTTAACAAGTGACATTTTCACAGAGCCTATAAGCATCGTGACTGGAACTAAGGAATTCGAGCCGGCTGCTACGAGAGAACCAGACCTAAGGAATACAACCCTTTGAACATCGATCTTCTAAACTTTTAATAAAATGAACTTTGTTTTTCCCCTGTCTTCAGTCCAGGAGGATATCGAGATCCACCCCTGACTCCTGGCGAGGTGATCCAGCAGACTCTACCAACCAGTGTTCCAGGTAAGTTGGTTGTCGACCGTCACTAGAGGTACCCTGGCACACACACATGGCGAGGTAGTCCAGCAGACTACCAACCAGTGTTCCAGGTAAGTATTTGTGAGCCGACACTAGAGGTACCCTGGCACACACACCTGGCGAGGTGGTCCGGCAGACTCTACCAACCAGTGTTCCAGGTAAGTTGGTTGTGGGCCGACACTAGAGGTACCCTGGCACACACACCTGGCGAGGTAGTCCAGCCAGCAGATTCTACCAACCAGTGTTCCAGGTAAGTTGGTTGTGGGCCGACACTAGAGGTGCCCTGGCACACACACCTGGCGAGGTGGTCCGGCAGACACTACCAACCAGTGTTCCAGGTAAGTTGATTGTGGGCCGACACTAGAGGTACCCTGGCACACACACCTGGCGAGGTAGTCCAGCCAGCAAATTCTACCAACCAGTGTTCCAGGTAAGTTGGTTGTGGGCCGACACTAGAGGTGCCCTGGCACACACCTGGCGAGGTGGTCCGGCAGACTCTACCACCCAGTGTTCCAGGTAGGTTGGTTGTCGACCGACACTAGAGGTGCCCTGGCACACACCTGGCATTAGCCAGCCCCAACATAGGGAGGAATCACAAGCACAGACTTGACCCCAGCCCTTCTGTATGTGAGGTGCTCAATTTTTTTGTTTACATTTTTTAATGGGAGCTCCCCTGGCGTAGCGACTAGATGCTCGCCTGAGGATTGGAGGGTCGTGGGGTCAGATCCTGGCGGAGATAAACATTTTGCACACAAAAAAAAAAAAACATTAGCTCCCAGGTCGACGCAACTTTAAATGGTTACCAGGTAAAGTCAGGGGAAGTAGTGGCGGCCGGCAGGGTAACCAAGCAATCAACCAATCAAATAACCAACCAACCAGTGCAATACTTTTGTACTGACACCACTAGATTATCGTCTTCAGTATGAACGCGTCATGGGCGACTGGACTATTCGACCTCTCTAGATTCTAATATTTTCATGTAGTTAATGTTGCTTATATTATTGCTTATAGCCCAACCGTTTAGCCTGTCTATGGACATACTCTCCTCTCTGGTTGATGGTTAATTCAAGGACCGACATCACAGCATTCGGGGCAATCCCACAAGCTCTCCGTCCCCATCTTCAGCAGCCAGCGCAGAGTTACGAAACCTATGGTGCCAGTAGCAGTATGATTATATGCACGTCTTGCCTTTCCTCTGAGCCTCGAGTACCGGCCAGATCCTCTAGTCAATTCTCGCTCCATCACTCTCACCATACTGTGGGATCTGTTTGTCGCTCCTAATTGCCCACGCTCTCCTACAAGGCCCCAACCAGGTCTACCTTATCATGCATCAGTATTTCACCAAGTTGTGCAGAGCCAGCCAATCTGTTCACCGGTACATCTCCTAAAACACCGGCATGACTCAGAGAAAAGATCCAGACAATGCTCCTCATTCGAAGCATGCCACTCTGCACCCAAGTATGTCAGTCCTCACCTTCGTCATCATGCTTTCTGAGTCAGTTAAAATGACGATCTCTCTCTCTCTCTCTTTCTCTCTCTCTCTCTCTCTCTCTCTCTGTCTGTGTGTGTGTGTGTTTGTTTGTCTGTGTGTGTGTGTGTGTGTGTCTGTGTGTGTCGTGTTCTTTAACCTGTGGAAAGCTGCAGTGACCGCCTCCACCTCCATTCTAAAGCTGGATGTTGTGGTATCATATGCTAGGCTCTCCTGCACCACACGTCGACCATTAACTTTTGCTAAAAAGCCCCAAGCACTTTTTTGCCTCTTGACACTGAATCGTCTGTGTAAATGATCAAATCCTCTGAGCGAGCATTATCTTAAATTAATTGCTGAATTTCCATCTCTGTGGCACCTGCTGGCCAATCTCTGTATTCCCGGCTCAGCGTGGTTATGACCCTACACGAGTCTGACTGTTCAGGTGGCACTTTGACCCACTCCTCTCCTCGCCTAATGTTCTCAAGGATAAAAATCTGTTCGATTGTGTTTTCTGTCTGAGCCATCCATGACTTCTCTCATCAGCCGCTGACCCTTAACTGCCCCCAAAGCTTCGTGCAAAGGGTGGCCTGTGTCTGCAGCTTCTCTGAGGTATGACTTCGCCTGCTGCACCTTGTGCCTACCTGCAACCGTCGGCAAACCAAGGATGTATTGTATACACATCTCTGGGGTGTCTCTGGTGCAACCCAGAATGACCCACATAGCCACGTTCTGTATGAGTTTTAGTTTAATCATCAGGCTCGTTGAGACAGTAAGCAGTCTTAGCCCATCATCAGTCACTGAAAAGGTCAGTTGCTGTAAAAGTGTGTAAAACATTCTCTCCTCCGTCTCCATTGCAGCCAAAGTCTTAAGTGCATTAAGTCCTTTTTGGCATCTGGTCACAACCATTTCCACATTGTCCTTGGCGGACAGGCTCCTGTCAGATGCGATTCCCAGATTCTTCAGTTTGCTCTCTATGTTGACATTTTGGCCATCTATCGTGAGACCTGGGACATCAGCAGCAACAATCCTGTTGTCTGGAGAACACCACAAAACAGACACCTTTTCTGGGTAGACAACAGCCCTAATTTCTGTACACCAGTCAATCACTTTGTCTGCTGTCGCCTGTAGCTTGTGGACTGTTTGTTTGTTCCTTTTCAGTTCCCTGCCTATATGCAAGTATATCATCTGCAGATGTCTGTATCCTTCCACTTCCTAGGTTTCTAGACTTGCAATCTTGTTTGAATACACGTTAAAGAGCACAGGCTAGATGGAGGATCCCTGTGGCAGTCCTGGGACTTTATTGCGTGATTCTGAGGTCCATTAACAAAGACGGAGAAAACCTGACGAGAATACAGGACAGTTGCAACCCAGTTCAGCAACCAGGGACTGACCTCCTTTTTCATCAGCGTAAATATCGAATCTGACCTCTCTCCCCCTATAAAACCTTCTCTAGTTCGCCTCTGTTGTTGTTGCGCCCTAACATGCCAGTTGTCTTTTCTATGTGGTTTCATTAATGATGTTATCATGTTCTTAGTGCTCCAATGTTTCGTTTCTTCTCTGTCCTCGATAATCTCAATTCTTGTCAGCATCTACAAGTACATCTCCTCCAGTTTCTGTCCCGTTTCGTTATTTATTAAGCCGGATTTGTTTCCACACCCAAATATGGGTCACACATTTCTTTGCATATCCCATTTCTTTAACTTTCCTTTAAACGTATTATATATTGCATGATGAAGAATTGGCCCATAAACAGCATACTGCTCAGATAGCTAACGTAGTTTGGCAGATTTTGGTGACGCTGGTCTGGAGAGAGCGGTCATGGAGAGTACAGTTTGCGGAAAGCGAGGCACAGGCATACCTCAGCGAATGTGGATACAAGACACTGCAGATGCATCGGCCATTAAAGCACCAATGACCGTATAATTGGTTAGAGAAAGAGACTTTTATGCTTGCTTTGACGAGAGCGACGTTTTGTACAGAACATGCTGATCGATGATGATCCTATACCAACTGTCATCTTTTCATATGCATTAAATATCGTAACTCATATCGTTATACTCTGTATTTCATATATATATCGTATTTTATTTCAGCCTATTCTAGATCCAGGTTATTACGATACTATTCTATATGCATTATGACTCCTATTTCATTTCACATATTTTATGCCAACGCTGGTTCCAAACATTCTTATCTGTCAACAACAGGCCAGTATCCATCGACGACTAGGCCTTATCCAACAACGACCAGGTCTTTTCCAACAACATTTAGACCCTATCCAACAACGACAAGGCCATATCCAACAACAACCAGGCCGTATCCCACAACGGCCAGGTCTTATCCAACAGTGACCAGTCCAAATCCAGCAACTAATACAAGCCAATATCCAACAATTGCAGTTAAATATCTAACAACGACCAGCCCATATCCTACAACGACCACCCCATATCCTACAGCGACCACCCCATATCCCACAACGACCAGCCCATATCCTACAGCGACCAGCCCATATCCTACAACGACCAACCCATATCCCACAACGACCAGCCCATATCCCACAACGACCAGCCCATATCCCACAGCGACCAGCCCATATCCTACAACGACCAGCCCATATCCCACAACGACAGGCCCATATCCCACGGCGAGCAGACTATATCCCACAACAAACAGCCCATATCCAACAATGACCAGCCCATATCCCACAACGACAGGCCCATATCCCACGGCGAGCAGCCTATATCCCACAACAAACAGCCCATATCCCACAACGACCAGCCCATATTCCACAGCAAGCAACCCATATCCCACAACAAACAGCCCATATCCCACAACGACCAGCCCATATCCTACAACGACCAGCTCATATCCCACAACAAACAGCCCATATCCCACAACGACCAGCCCATATCCTACAACGACCAGCTCATATCCCACAACGACCAAGCCATATTCGAAAATTTCGTATCCAACAAACACAAAGCCGTATATAACAACACAAGAACCATATATAACAAACACAGCACCATATAAAACAACGACAGAACCATATACAACAACTACAGAGCAGTATACAACAACCCCAGCGCCATATACAACAACCACTGAGCAATATACAACAACCACAGAGCCATATACAACAACCACAGAGCCATATACAACAACCACAGAGCCATATACAACAACGACAGAGCCATATACAACAACCACAGAGCCATATACAACAACCACAGAGCCATATACAACAACCACAGAGCCATATACAACAAAAACAGAGCCATATACAACAACCGCAGAGCCATATACAACAACCTCAGAGCCATATACAACAACCACAAAGCCATATACAACAACCTCAGAGCCATATACAACAACCACAGAGCCATATACAACAACCACAGAGCCATATACAACAAACACAGAGCCAATTACAACAACTAAAGAGCCAATTACAGCAACCACAGAGCCCAATCGAACAACCACAGATCCATATACAACAACCACAGAACCATAT